GTAAATTATTTGCATATGGAAATGTCCATCATACATTTTTTAGTGATCTTTTACCATTTATAAAAGAAAAACACCATACAATATTGTTTATATAAGTGTTTTAAAGGATTTCTGTAGTAAAGTTTATAAATATTGAAATATTAGCACAATCTTAATAATATGCAAAGCTACGTTCCATGTGTAAGTATGTATTTTGTTTCTCTTAAAAATATATTTTTTAAATTATTCATATTCATACCTTTATGGGGTTAAGTTATGATTATGAATAATACATTTTAATGCAAAAATATGCCTATGCGAACACTACAGAATAATTAGCCTATTGGACACAGTTTAGATTCTATGATGCCTTAGGTTAGACTCTCTATTTTGTGAAAGAGATGTCAATTGTGACGTATATATTCATTTTCTTGACTAAAAAAAGGCATTTGGTAGAGAGAAACATGATAATCTTATAACCATTTTGAAAGAAGCGAGGTAGATGATATACAGAGATTTAAGAATCATATCTAATTTGTTTTACAAGCAAATTGCCAACATTAAAGTGTAGGACCAGTTGACAGAGGCAAGAGGCTACCAAACGACCGTAAAATCTATCTACCTATCCACAAAATGCAAATCCACAAATCCAAAATTTCACTGATAATCTCAAACTGAGATCCTGTCCTCAAAAACTACTTCACATTGAGCTGTATTTGAAAACTTTTTTTTATTTTTAAATTCAAAATGGTTTCGAATATATGGCAGATCTTCCATTTTTAACATTGTAAAGTATATCTCAAGATCTAATAATTATTTTGAAATTTAACGGGATCATGTAGAGAAGAGCACGAGTTGCAACATTTTTAAACAGTTTTGACGTTATTTTGGTTGCCTACTCTTAAGGAATCAAATATAGACAACTTTTAAAAATCCAACTTCTCAAAAACCCTTTTTTTAGACCAGAGATCTGGTGGTGTTTTTTTGTTATTGATGCCAATAAAATTGCACAAATTTATGCAAACTATCTAGTTTTTTTTTGCTTAGAAATGTCATGAATTTGGTTAAAAGACGAGTCTTAGAGCAATTTACTGTTTAAAGATTAACAAATAGAAAAGAAATTTTGGTTTTTGATATCACATTTGAAAAATATTCTCACAGGATGAATTTTAAAATGCTAGAAGCTGCATATATTTAGAAAAAGAATATTGTGATGAAATATAAGATACAGGAAAACGAATCAGTAAATGGCAACTGAATACATTTGAGTTGGTAAAGAAAGTTAAATAAATTCTCAGCGAATATTTGGCAGGAAAATCGGTATCAAGAATAACCATCTCAGAAAGCTATCACATGTTTTAGTTCTTATGTATGACAATGCTGGACCCCATATGACATAAATTGGGAAATATTTGTTTGGCTATATGAATTATGAAGTACTAAAACATCCTCTCTGCAGTCCCTACTTATTACCGTGTGATTACCTTGTATTAGGTCTACTTAAACATCGAATTTGTTGAAAATATATAGATCAACGCGTTTAATGGACATCACTAAAAGCAAAATGGAAAAAATGTAAGATGGACACTTATAAAAAATATAACTTTTGAATTTAAAATTAGACAAATGATTTAAACACTAATTTGTCTGATTAAAATTTGAAATACACATCGTTATAAATAAAAAGTATCTAAAATAACAATTATTCACATTATATCTAATAAATTATATACATATATAAATGATATCGATACAGTCAAATTCAAATCAAACGTGGATATGTGTCCGTCATAGCCAACAGACTTGAAAAACCTCTTCAGACATGTTAATTGTTTCACGTTAAGAACGGAACGTGTCGTATTTAGGAAATTAAGTTAACTATCTCAGACAGTGCTGAAATAGGGCTCTGAGTAGAATGACTCATATATTGGCAGTCTAGTAGCAACACGTGCCTGAGAGTTTTGGTAATACTAATCTGCATAAGCCAAAAGGGTACGTTCTTAACTTGAAATAAAGTATAGTTATCCCATTGTCTATGCTATAAACATTTTCCTATACTATTTTACACGCTATAAACCATTTACTACATACAATATTCCACAACTTTATTAAAATTTGGCTGTACTTTGTAGATATACTTTTTTATTTAAAAAATTGGCTATTGGCTATGGATTTCGTAATGAACACAATTTTTAGCTACATAAAATACAGAGTTTGAACGTTCAAGAACAGAGTTTTAAATCGTTTCTCTTTACGGTTCAATCAATTGCTTTCCTTGAATCTATATCTATAGAATGTTCACTTAATTGATTCCTTTCAAAAACAAACTGAAGCGAATTACTATATTCTGACTCATACAACTAGATTGCCAACAATCCAGCAAGCCCACTCCCAGCCCAGGTCCGATATCGGATTCAACTTTGGAGGTTGGACCACAAGTTGGACTAAATATCGGAACGTGAATGCCCCGCTTAAGTACATATTACACAAACATATTTCATAAATATGCTTTTTGCATCAGCTATCAAAATTATCGGTGGTAAAAGATTGGTGAAATGTCGGCAAAAATAGAAAAGGAACTTGGAGACCAAAGGTACTGATTATAAGGAAGGGAGATGTAAAAATGCAAAAACAAAAAGAAAAAGCTAAAAAGAGAATGAAGAGATGGCTTTTGACAATCAATACACTATAAGAACAAGTTACCGATGATCTGAGAGAAGAAGTGAGGCATGACAGTGTTGAAAAAAAAAGGATATTTATCACAATTTTGATAGGTTTCAGAATATAATGCATAACAATTCACAAAATATTAACGAATAAAACAAGGAAGGTTATAATGATAAAATGATGATGATAAAATGATGATAAAATGTTTAAGAGACAATGACAATATCTGCTAGAGAGACTTCTCAAAAGAGTGAAAGTATTATACAACTTGATGTACCGAGAATCGAAGACGTAGGACCAGAACTAAACCTTTACTCAATCAATAAAAAAAAATACAGAACAAAATGAAAAAACTAACTAAAATATCCATTTCAAAAGGTGAAAAAGAAAAAACTAACAATTGGTTTTGTTATAAATTGGATGAACAGTTTCTGGATCTAATATTGTAGCTCACCATCAGGTCCAAGATAACAGGTTACTTAACCACCAAAAAAAGAAAAGAAATGTTACAGTTGTTATAGGCTGCTAAAGTATAAATTATGCCAATACAAGCCTATAATGAACCAAATTTAATGTAAGTATAATTGTAAATCTGTTTTTTTTTACTTTTTTTCCTATTAACCGTTTAAAATCACAAATATAGGACTATACATTAAATTTCTGACTTATTGGTTCAGAACTGCAAACATTTTTGTTAATTTTTGAGGCATGAACAGTTTTGATATACCAAATGCTTAATTACAAGCTTGTATGAGATCTAAAAATGTGAACAGGAAGAAAACTAAATCACTAGTGTCAAAAAGATCTCAAACTATTTAATATAAATTAAAATTACAAGGAAAAGATGTTAAGGTATGTAAAAAGGCTTTCTTTAGTATCCATAGCTTACATAAAAATCGAGGACGAGTTGAAAATCTAGTAAAAAAATTAAAAACTGGATCAAACACTCCAAAATCAGATCTAAGAGGTCCACATTCAAATCATCCTAAAAAATATTCCAATTCTGATAAAAATTTTGTGAATTTTTTTATTGAAAGCTTACCAAAGTAGAAAAGCCATTATGCCCGTGCTGACAGCTCTAGACAAGATATGAGTATGGAATATTATATTCATACCTGTTATGAGAAATATGTAGGAGAATGTATTTTGAAAAAGAAAATTCCAGTTTCTGCAGATAAATTCAGAAGAATATTTACTGAAGAATATAAGTTTCAAATTCCAAAAATGGATACATGTCAAGCGTGCGTTACACAATGATAAAACTGAGGTTGAAACATTAACTAACACTGAACAAGAATTACATCATAGAAAAGCTGAAGCAGGTCAACAGGCAATCAGAAAGGCAGTAGTGGAAGGAATCTTAAACCCAGATGTGCATGCAATAAGTTTTGATCTACAGCAAATCCTTCCCACACCAAAGCTTACCGCTGGTCCCATGTTCTATAAGAGAAAACTGTGGTGCTATAATTTAAGCATACATGTCCTTGGAGATGGCCAGGGTCACTTTTTATGTGGGATGAATCCACTTCTAAAAGAGGGTCGGACGATATAGTACTGTTTCAAAATGTACTTTTAGAAAAATAATATTCGTGGCAGAAAACTAACAGCTATTTTAGACAATTGCTGTGGACAAAATAAAAACTGGAACATCATTGGTCTTTGGCTTTATCTTTTACAAAATGACTATTTTAAAGAAATAGTTCGTATATTTCCTCAGGTAGGACATACAATGTTGCCAAGCGATAGAGACTTTTCTGTTGTAGAAAATTATGTCAAGAAAAACTGTGAAATGGACTATTCGCCCAATCACTGGGAATATATTTTAAAGAAGTATTAGAAAAAAAAACCTTTTTTAGTAACTAGGGTCCAGCAAGAGAATATATTCAATTGTTCAGTACTGAAAACCTATTTTAACCAACCAGTAGGTATTTTACAAAGTAGTGTGAAATTATGCCTATCTTCAGAAGTTCGAAAATTACCATAGAATAGTTGGAGTAAACATTGTCTTGAACATAAAGAACGAAAGAAGAAATATGGTAACAAGGACTAAAAGTGTTACATACAATGCGGTTACTAACACAAGGACATACCAGGAAGAAATTGAGAGCGACCTACAGAAAGACATGTAAAATGAAAACAATAGCTTGAGCAGCTAACGAAATGTTCGTGGATACCCTAAAGAAGTCACAGATGAATTGCCAAGCCAAGCAAGCAGACAGAAAAACTTAAAAACAACCCTCACTCCAGTGAGGCACACAAATAACGGAAGGAAGATAATGCGAGTACTAATCGAAAGCACCTTTGAACAATAAACTTGGTACTCATTTGATACTTTTTCAACTGACTTCTTTCAATTATATAACACAGTTTGTCTCCAGTTTCTTTGTTTTATTGGATCTCATCTCAAGTTGTACATCTTCCAAAGTTTTACCTTTGGTTTCGGGTAGAAATATAGAAAGGATTATTATACTAGCAAAACTGAAAATACCGAAGGTGAAGAACGGCACAGCTAGGCTAAAAGTGCTGGCAGTCCAGCTGAAATATTTGATAACGCTGGTGGAGACGACGCTATAGCACAAGTTGACAACGCAGAAAGCTTTACCTTTGATGTGAGAGGGAAATATCTCGCTACTAACTAATATAGGTACGCAATTTAAGCCTATGCTGTAAGCGCATATATAAACGAGTATTGCTACTATCTGAATAAACTCATATCCAGATAAATCTGTCTGTGTTGAATTTTTAATATAAGAATAACCACCTATTGTAAATAATGTGATACACACTACTACTGAGGAAAAAAGAACCAAAGGCTTTCTTCCTGAAATATCAATTAAAACTAAGGCAACCAAAGTTGCCAGAAAGTACAATAAATAGTATATCAAATTTGCTACTTTTGGATCCATAATGTTGCTGGTTTCTTCAAATACGTCCTGACAATAGGACTGTATTGCTAAAATACCACTCAGTTGTTGTAAACTTGTCATAGAAAGCGCTAAGAACAAACAATTGCGGTATTGCGGTTTTAACACTAGTTCCTTAAGACCCCCTTTTGCGTACTTCTCCTCCTCCATAATACCCTTGGATATTCTTCCTATTTCGTCGTCGACTTCTCCTTTTCCTCTGAACTTTTGTAAACTCTCTTTCGCCGATGCCACCTCACTCTTCATTAGATAAAAGTATGGACTCTCTGGAAGGAACGGTAAAATTATCATCATTATTAAACTAACACTAGCTGCAATGTAAGCCGCCGCTGGAATCGATATGAAGTATAGCATCACGTTGGACATCAGCATTCCAAAGACCAGTGTGACCAAATATGTCGTACCTGTAAAAAACAAGTTAATTTGATGGAGTGAAAAGACAGCAAATATTTGATTTCACGCAAATAGCGCCTTTGTATCTGTTGATACGTATTTCGAAGTCTCATCAGAACAGTTATTCAAAGGTGTTCTCAACGTGAAAGATCAATATTTTCTGTCTTTTAAGAAGCAACACTAAAATGGCTTCAATACGGACGCAATAGCGACATCTGATAATAAAACCGTAAAATAGTTTCGAAAAACAATTCAGATTTCTGCTTTAATCTTTGCTTTCTAAAAATTGCAAAGCAATTTAATTAATTTAATGGCTTTTTCTATTTAGTACAATTGTAATTTCAAGTAACCCAACTGATGAAAAACAAAAGGAACTAAAAAAACAGTTCTTCGTTAGACGAAACTTGCAAGAGATGTCCCAGAAATGACATTAAGATTGTTTTAGGTGACATGAATGCAAGAGTAGGGCGAGAGCGAGTTTTCATACCCTCGATAGGAAAACATATCCTATACAACATCATAAGAATATCATCAACATGGGCTGTATCTTGTCTCCTATTCTCTTCTCTCTAATGTATACTCAGAAGAAGTATTTAAGACAGCGCTGGAGGAAAGCACAGAAGGCATAAAGATAAATGGAGAAATAATTAATAACATAAGGTATGCTGATGACACTGTGATTCTAGCAAGTAGCATGGAGGAACTGAGTTGCCTAATGAGTAAGATACAAAAAACAAGTGCACAATACGGACTCAGACTAAATATCACAAAAACCAAAATAGATGTTAGTAAGCAAAACCCAACAACCACCACCGTAACTGATATTAGACAATGAAATAATTGAACACGTGGATTTGTACATCTACTTGGGAACAACAGTTAACTCAAATTGGGATCAAGCGAAGGAAATACGTATAAGAGTAGAAAAGGCAGGAGCGTCGTTCACTAGCATGAAGCAAATTTTCACCTCTAAAAGCCTCACCCTACCTGTCAAAATTCGACTTCTGAAATATTATGTATTCCCGGTTTTGTTATATGGAATGGAGGCGTGGACAATGACCGCAACATTGATGAAAAAAGTAGAGGTCTTCGAAATGTGGGCTTACCGACGTATATTACGTATATCCTGGACTGAGCACGTAACCAACGAAGAGGTACTACGCCGGATAGGTAAAGAGAGAGAGGTAGGAATAAGTATAAAGAAAAGAAAGTTGGAATACTTGGGTCACGTTATGAGACATAATAAATATAGAGTACTACAGTTGATCGTTCAAGAGAAAATAGACAGCAGAAGGGGTCCAGGGAGGACCCCTTCGGGAAGACACTCGTGGCTTCAAAACTTGCGGCAATGGTTCGGATTGTCATCTGCTGAACTATTCAGATCTGCCGTAAATAAAGTCAGAATAGCCAGCGCAAACATAGACTCAGATCATTGCCTAGTGGTCTCGATATTGAGGGCTAGAATCTCAAATACCAGTAAAGAAAATAAAATGAATAAAAAAAATGGAATGAGCAAAAGCTGAGAGATATGACAATTGCAGAACGGTACTTGGAAAACAATACCAATAGGCTGTGGAATCAAAATGTAAATGAAGAAGGCCACACAGATAAAGACTCCTACTGGATCATAATAAAGGAAGACATTGAAGCAGAAGCGAAGGAGGAAATAGGAACAGAAATTTGTGCCCGAAAAAATCATTGGTTTGACGATGAATGCAAGAATGCAACATAACAGAAAAATGAAGCCCTATGACGAACTAGAACAACTCTAGAGAATTACTAGACAAAGAGAAGAGAAGAAAACAGGATACACAAGAAACCTCAACAAAGCTGAAGTATATAAAGAAGGTGGGCATGACATCATAATGGCATTACAACAGCTTATAAAAGAAATATGGACACAGAAATTTCTCGCTAATGATTGGAATATTGAGGTCCAAGGTTCCTTGATAATATCGATGAAGATATGGAAAATATGGGAATACGTGCTTGGCGAAGAAAGACGATGGATAGGAATGACTGGATAGGAAATTCTTGAGGAGGCTAGGACCCACGCAGAGTTGTAAACCCAAAATGATGATGATTGATGCAATGTATTCTATAGCCACAGCAGGATCTTTAGTCATCTAGAACATAGAACATTTTTTTTACGTAAACTTACCTAAGAATCCCCTTATTTCTGGATCCGATATTTCTGCTAGATATGGTGGAATCGCTGTAAATAACAACCCATCTACAATTCCAGCTATTATTCGTCCACCGAATAAATATCCAGAAGAATTTGCAACTGCAACTAGTATCCAAGATACAGTTAGGGGTATAGCAGAAAACCATATCATCTTTTTTCTGCCGAATATATTCATACTAAAGCCTAAAATACATAAAAAATTATTATTATTTTATAAGTTTTCAATTATCATATGTATTGATGAAGGTAAATATTAAAAGTAAGTATTTTTTGTGGTATAAACTTCTTTTAACTTTATGGTCAAGTAGGTCTTAATCTGTATGGCAATTTACTTCAACTCTGATATCTCTTGTGCTGTTCTGGATAGTCTTACCTCAATCTTTAAGTTCTGAAGTCATTCTCCGTATCACCCAACTATCCTTATTTCGTTTATCTGTTGGTTTTCATTACACTTTTGTGTTTTCTAACCATTCGACATATTCTAGTCATGCTAGTATCTGATATATGGTGCCTAAGTGCTTCTGCATTGAAATTCTCTTGATTATTTTCTGTATCCAAGTACGTAAGGTTATTATTACTGGTTACGAAGGCAAGTCAGAAAACGGACATGCTTAACACAAACCTGCGTCGTATTATTAGGTGGATTAGAGAGAACGATCTACAGTAAGCAGCTTAGAAAACTGAGGTGGTACTTCTCAAAGGGAGCCGGGACAAATTCTCTCTTCGCTTTATAGTGGAACCGGTGGAGGTTACACCAGTTAAATCAGCTATCTTGGATTCTCGCTGGTTGGAAGAACTGGGGTTCGGGGTATACGTGCAAAAGATAGTAGAGAAGGTTAAAAGAAGTTTGGAGGCGTTGGTATGGTCTAAAGTCCCAGATAGCGCCAAAAGAAGGGTGCTAAATGGAGTATTCCACTCGGCGATGACATAAGATTCCCCGTATGGGGTAGCGTGCTGAACACTGCGAAATACGCCAAGGTGATGAAGACTAAGCAAAGGCGAATGCTCCTGAGGGTATCTAGCGCCTACAGGACGGCCTCAAATGAGGCTGTATGTCATTGGAACGGTGATACTGATCGTCTTGTTGAGCAAAGAGCGAGCGAGAGTGCATGCGAGGAGATTGGATGGAAGTATAGATGAGGAAGAGAGGGAACAATAGCAGAGTGGCAGAGCGAATGGGTGAAGGATATTGGAAAGGTAAGGTGAACGAAGGAGCTTATTCCTGATCTAATGGGGATGTAAGTTCAGGAAACTGGACTACTTTTTGACGCAGTTTTTGACCGGACATGGTAATTTTGGTACCTTCACAAATAGAATAGGCAAATCTGCCACAGCGGACTGTACTATTTGTAGGGTGTCAGACGCTCCCGTCCACCTTTTTAACTGCCAGAGGTGGGTAAATGAGAAGGAAGACTTCGAAAGGCGTATGGGTTTCAGGCTAGATGAAAGAAACATGGTAAACATAATAATGAGAGGAGAGAAAGAATGGAGAGAAGTACACAGTTTGATCTCTTTGATAACGAAGAAGAAGGAGCAGCAAGACAGAGGAGGAAATTGAAAAGAGGATTTGAATCTTGCTTCTTTTTTTTTCGGGAACCAGTAAGTACGTTAGTTTATGGCCTCACAGAAATATTTTCACTCATTTGTTTTCTTTTGGTAATAGGCAAAATGTAAAATGGTTTTAATATATGGATTTTAGGATTAAATTTAATTACCTGCTATAACGTCTCCAATCACAGAACCCATTGGCGTTACGGCTATCATCCACGACACTTCTTCTTCGGTCATTTTAAACGAGTATTCTCCACTTTTAAGTACTGAAATAGCAGACGAGGGCCATCCATAATGAAGACCTATGGACAACATTCCCAAATTGGCTTAAAAAGAAAAATATATTAGTCTACATAAAAAGTTTTACAAAAAACACAAAAATATATATATATATATATATATATATATATATATATATATATATATATATATATCTATATATATATATATATATATATATATATATATATATATATATATATAATATATATATATATATCTATATTAATATTCTTAATTAGTTTGGCACGGTTTAAAAGCTCTGATTAAATTATTAATAACAAATATAATTTTCTAGTTTCAAATTATCGAAATAGAAAAAAATGTTGAAATAAAAACATTCATTCATGACATCAGAAGTCAGTGTTAGTTACGTGTGACCTGTTTCATTTTAATTAGCTTAAAAACTTTGATTGAATGTACTTAATTAAATTAAATATCCAAAATATGATAAACAAGGAGTATCTACAGATAAGAAATGTATATAAAAGCTGCATCTATTACTACACACTTTTATATAAAAAATAGACAGCAAATACATTTTTTTTCGGCCGGACAATTTTTTTTATTTTTTGATCATTCTAAAGAAAATATGAATATGCCTCGGGCCAGAGGCCCTCTGGCTAATTTTTTTTTTATTAACATTTAAGATTTTACAATCTGTTTTGCAGTGAAAACAATAAGTAAAATTTTTTGTCTTTACATGACAGAGACCTGTAAGGTCCAGTGACCAAATCATCACGACACAAATTGGCTTGTTTACCAGTAGGATTACCCAAAATCTAGATCCATCCTTCGAAATTCGATGTAGAATTGAACAGGCAAGAAACTTATTTCAAAAATTCAAGCCTCTATTATCCAATAACTCATTAAATTTGGAAATCCGTGAACAGTTTACAAGATGTTACGTGTGGTCTGTACTTTTATATGGATGTGAAACTTGGACTTTAAACGCCGATATCATGAATAAAATCGAGGCGTTTGAGATGTGCTTGTATCGAAGGATACTAAAAATTCCATGGACTAGCAGAACCAGAAACGAAGAAGTTCTTCGAAGAATGGGACATCGACGAACTCTATTAAATATTATTAAGAGGCGTAAACTAGAATATCTTGGACATATAATCAGAGGACCAAGATAGGAGTTCCTTCGGCTAATTCTCAACGGTAAAATCGAAGGAAAGAAATGGATAGGACGGAAGAAACTCTCTTGGTTGAGGAATTTGCGGCAGTGGACAGGTTTGACAGCGGACCAATTGCTACACGTGGCGCAAGACCGAGATCAGTATAACAATATTATAAGCATGGTAGTCGCCGACGTTCCGTAGGGATATGGCACTCTAAGAAGAAGATCAAGCCTTTGACACGAAAGAATTTAACAAAATCCTGAAAGCACTATAAGCATTTAGCATTTACTACCGATCATCATCATCATCAATCAGCCCTGAGTTGTCCATTGTTGAACATAGACCTCCTCTAGACTTTTCCATCTGCTTCTGTTCTTCGCCTCTGCTATCCAATTGGTCACGATTCTTTTGAGGTCGTTGGTCCATCGCGTTGGGGGACTTTTTCGGCTTCGCTTGTCAGCATGTGGTCTCCACTCAAGCAATTTTTTTGTCAACTGTCGTCTTTCATTCTGGCAACATGTCCTGCCCATCTCCATTTTTGCCTTGTAATATGTTCGATAATGTCTTCCACTCCGGTTCGTCTACGAACTTCCTCGTTTCTTATTCTATTTCTTATTAAAGCTTATTCCAAGCATTGATCTCTCCATCTTTCGTTGTGTCCTTTTCAATTTTTCGGCTGATGTTTTTGTGAGAGTTAAGGTTTCTGCTCCGTATGTGAGGACTGGTAGAACGCACTGGTTAAAAGCTTTTTTTTTTTAAATGGATCGGTATATTTCGTCTCTCATTTTTCCGAATGCAGCCCCAACTTAGACTTATTCTTTTGAGTAGCTAGCATGTTTTGTTATCTTGCGTTAACCTTATTTCGTGACCCAAATACTCATATTTTTCCACAAGTTTTATGGGCGACTTTTCGATTTCTATTAGCTCATTGGAGACGAGATTGGTCATCATTTTTGTTTTTCCATAGTTTACTACCGATATACAAGGTTAATTTGCAATACATACAAAAACGCAACTATGTCGGTGAAACTAAATAAAAACACGGATCATATCCCAATAATTGGCAGAGCTGTCCGATAGGGTGATATCGCCTAAACTGTTTATCGCAGTAGTAGAATATGGTTGTAAAAAACTTGACCGAGAAGAGAAAATCCTGAACAATGACGGTTTCCTAAGATTTAACGATAGAAAATTTCTTTGTTTTTATTTTTCCAGTTAATGTTATATCAATTGCTAAACCGACAGATTATACCCCCTCTGTGGCTCAGTGGTAAGAGCGCCTGCCTTTAAACCTAAAGGTCGTGAGTTCTAATCCCACCTGGGTGGAAATTTTCGTTTATTAAAAAAATTAATAAATGAAAATAATTTCTATCCTTGTGTGATCGGTACACACCGGAGGGACCGCAGACGTTCGGATACAATTAGCGTCTCTTAGCAAAGACAATGACGTCGACTTTGCTAAGTATCAAGACAATTACTCTACACACACAAACACACACACACACACACACACACACACACACACACACTACATTAATAAACTTATCTTGATTGAGACTGGCTGAATGACAATTGTCCAAGCCAAAACACACACACAAAAAAAACCGACAGATTAGTGTTATTGGTGCACTGAGATGCTTCTACCAAAGAAGGAATGGATCAGGGTGTTACTGAGACAATGAAATGCCTTATTGGATTAACTTATTGGATCAAGTTTTGGAAACTGCAATAGCGCGCAACGCTGATGAACTTGAAAAAATTAATGAAACCGATTTTGACACGTGGACACAGTTGGCAAAGATGAGCTAGGTTATTAGCTCCTTAGCAACAACGATATTGTCGAACTATTTAATACTTTTGAATCAGCTCGATACATCATAACCTGATTCTTCCTAAAATTAATATTCGGGGCAAGTCCATCCCCGAGGAGCACGGAGAATCGGGCTTCTACTTGTATAATCACTTTAATATTTCTAATCCGTAGGAACATATATTTCATCAGAGATCAATAAAACAAAACAAGATTTGGTGTTTGTATTACAGTGATAATTGCTTTAGATAAAATAAAGGTGACAGTTCAGGATGACCGGGATTGCATTTTATCGATAAACCAAAATCTTTGGAAAACAAATGTCATCACTATAATAAGTTCTATTTAATCTGACTATTGAGACATTGCTTTTAATTAAATTCTTTATGAATGATATATTTTCTTACATATATTTAAAGTATCCTTTATTTTACCGATATCAATTGATATTTATCGGGTAAATAAAGGTTTAGAACGAAAAAAAAAGAAAAAAAGGGAACTCCATAGCTTCTTTTTCGTCTCCTTGTAGTTGTAGCTCACCTTCGAGAATCAACAGATCTTCGAAAAAGATGATAGAATGATTATATGATGAACAAACTGTTCAAACACCATCCACGAAGATTGTCCAGAATAATACAATTATAAATAAAACAAAAATATTAACTACCTACCCAGAAAATTTTAGAGAAGCAGTAACAAAAAGCTGACCTACGAGTGACTACCAGGGGTCCTAAAAAAAGGGGAACACACAAAGAAGTGGATAACTAAAGCAATTATTAAGTTGACATTCTCAAAATACAAACATTAATGTTTGTATTTTGAGAACGTTTTCCGAAGTCGAAATTGAAATGTCACAAAACTTATTTTAAACTTCAACTCTGGCTTATTCCCATTAATATAATAATTACTTTAAGATGCTACAAGAAAATAGCTTCAGAACAATGTGCAAACTAGAAGAAGATGTATTGCACAAGAGAAATAATTGGACGGCCATGGTGAAATGGGTTTCACGATCCTACTAAATTCTGACGAAGGAGAAAAGAGAAGGGAGAAAGATTACCAAAAATGTTCTTCTTCTTCTTGATATGCCTATTCCATTACGAATGTTGGCGATCATCATGACAATCTTTATCTTATCTGGAGCAGCGCGGAAAAGCTGCACAGATGTTGTATTGAACTAGATTACGAGGTTCTTTAAACAAGATGTTCTTCTTCTTCCTGGACCTCATTTTCCAAATATTTTTCTTTGCAGGATGGCTTGAAGGAGAGCATATCGGATTAATTTTGCATAATATGTCCGAAGATTTGTAACTTTAGAGATTTTGGTAGTGAAAATAAATAATCAAGAGAAATAATAATTCGTCGTATTGAAGATGCATTGATATCAAAAATATTAAACCCACATGGTCAGAAAAACAATTACAGGGTAAGAAAATGTGTAAACCATTCAATGCCAGAACACCACAAACGAAGTTGATTTTCTATTCATCTATTGCAAAATTATAGGGAGCATATTTCTGTTTAAAAATGTTCAAGCTTGTTTTCGGTTTTTAATATTTTAATGCATTTTATGTTGTTTAAGATGTTTATTTATTAATGACTAATAAGTTGACACAGTTTTCAACTTAAAGATAAGTACCTATTATTGTTTTTCTTTCGAAACATGTTTTTGCTGGTTTTTCAACATAGATTAAAAAAAGTAGAGATTGTAATCAGTTTACTTTTTTTTTAAATAAGATAGAAACAAGTGATATTGGATAACGCACTTTATTTAAATTCTTGCAAAATAAACAATTTTTAAAAATGTTATATGAGATGCTAGAAAAGAACGAAATATCCAAACCCTAAGATGAAGAAAAAGAAAAGTAAGATATGTCTAAATTTAGAATATCAACAAATTGGATTATCAATAAAAAAGCTCAGTCTAAATAATAAAAAAAAATGAATGGCATTGGGACCTCTTCCAGATCAAAGTTTAGGTAAGAAGAAATGATTGATGGATTCGACCGTTACTTGATGGACATTTATTTTATGTAACAATAAAACACTGAAAACTTTGTTTTCAAAACTTCCACATAATTTATTATTAACTCTTATCACTACTGCTGTT